AGGTATGTTCCTTGACTTGTCAAAAGCATTTGACACCTTTAACCATCAGATTTTATTAGAAAAACTAAAATATTATGAAATAAGCCACGAAAACCATTAATGGTTTACCATTACTTAACTGATTGAAAGCAGTTTTTTCTCTAAATGATGGCTTTCAGACAAACAAACTTAAAATATCATGTTGGGTTCCACAAGGTTCCATCTTAGGTCCACTGCTGTTCTTCATCTATGTCAACGATCTGTACTATGTCAACTATGTCACCTAAAAAACATAAAAGTTTCACGAAAAAATAAATAAATAGAAAAAAAAAAAAGAAACAAAAGCAAACAAAAAAAAAAAGGAAAAACTCAACATCTGTATATATGAATGAGAGAGAAAAGAAGAAAAGATTGTTAAACAAATAATAATGATATATGTAATAATAATAGTAATAATACAAAATAACAATAACAATAATAAAGTACCAATAATATTAAGAATATTATAATACAATATAAAGTGTATGTACAAATCATAGATGATAATTAGATATAATAATAACATAAAATGTAACATTAATAACACAATAATAAATAAATATAAGATAGGTAAATAATAAATAAAGTAAAAATCAAACCACTTGTTCGTTAAAGAAATTATATATTTAAGACAACTACAGTAAAGAGAGAAATTATAAAGAAATACACTCCAACAATATATTTTTCAATTGAATTATGTTGAGCAGTAAAAAATTCGTAACAAGTGGATATTTTTTCTTAGATTTTTTTATTAATGCAGGAATGCACTGGTTCCATTGAGAAATACATTGTTGTTTTATGGAAAACTTACCATATTTGATTGTGTTGAAAAAAGAATAGTATAGCTTGCTATTTTATAGTATCTCTCTATTTCACGTTGCAAATAATGAACTAGAACAAGTATCAAACTGGCTTATTGCTAACAGCCTATCTTTAAACATTGATAAAACTAAGTTTTCCTTATTCCATTCTAAACGAAAGTTTCAATAAATTCCAAAATCCTTACCAATGCTATTTACAAATAACACCAAATTTTTGCGCTCATTCACAAATAAATTACTTGGTATTTTAATAGACGAAAACTTATCTTGGAGAGATCATTTTAAACACATTAGCAATAAAATCTCAAGAAGTATTGGCATTTTATATAAAACCAGACAAATCTTAGACAAATCTACACTAATTAAACTATATTTTGCATTCATAAATAGTTATTTATCTTATGTTTGGGGTAGTATAAATAAATCTTAACTCGACTGTCTCCTTAAACAACAGAATCATGCAGCACGCATTTTATTTTCAAAATCGCTTCAAAAATACTAAACCTCTACTAAAAAGCATGAGGGTACTTGATATTTATGAACTAAATATTTTCGAAATTACACAACTTATGTTTCAACACAGTCAAAAAAAACGCCGAAGGTTTTCAAAAATATTTTCTCTAAAACATTAAACCAATACTATACTCGATCTACTCATTTTTTTTTTTTATCAAAAAAATTATTTTAACAAAAAACAAAGTATATCTTGAGAAATAACTATATTAAACTATATTAAATAACTATTTTAAATGTTTCAAAACACAGTAAGAACTATACAAATTCGCTATTTAAAATCCAGGAAATTTCAAAAAGTATTCAACAAAATAAATTAAACTTGTTTCTTCGTCTTCTTAATAACAAAACAACTTCAGGCATTATCTTTTCACAACTGAAACACCCCTTATTTAAACATTCGTCTGTTGGCGATATCCAGGACCTATGCCGTTTTCGGATGCTAAATTTCCAAAACTTAATTCAAAATAAAAAGAAGATAAAAATAGCACTTTGTAAAAGTGAAATTCCCTCCGAAGTTGAACAAACTTTGAAACATGCAATAGAGTGCTGGAATGCGAAAGAGCAAAGAGGAGTTTTTAAACAAATTCTGGAGGAAAAAATTCTAAAGTGAAAATCATGAGAAATAACTTTCTTATTTTTCTTTTTTACCTTGTAAATTACATTGGGTGTTTTTAAAATTACATTTTTGGATATCTGCCATTTTACTCGGTAACCATAGCAACTAACAAATTTATTTTGCATTATAATGCAAAATAAATGCATTATAATGCAAAATAAATTTATTAATTGCCATGGTTACCGAGTAAAATGGCAGATATCCAAAAACGTCTAGGCTAGCCCGGCCATTCTATATTAGTAACCGAAAACATATAAGATATGATTTTTGGGCATATGATTAACAAAATAGTAATCTACAAAGTATACTAAAATTGTTCTAAAAAACAAAGTATTTTTAAGAGTTTTAAATTATATTATAAAGAATTTTTAAAAATAGGGTATTTAAAAAAAATGCAGTTTTGTGATCAAAATCTTTTATAAATTAACAGAATTGTAAAACTTTTAGTTCCAATAGTACAACTAGATGCAATAAACATTTGGTGAAAATTTTATGCAAATTGTCAAAGACAGAATTATTTATTTTGTTCCAGTTATTTTTAGTCATAGGGTACATTAAAAGTATGCATTTTTCTAATCCTGAAAAACCTTGACCACATGCACGCATTGAATAAACTATTCTATTATTTACATCAAAAGTTTTTTTCCCAGAACATGTCTATGAAGCATAAAATTGAATTTTTTTATTACATTTAGAGCACATTGAGCTGAATTCTTTTTTTTTTCTTCGGGAAAACATTCTGAAATATTTAATTTTGATTGTAAACATTTTTTTTAACATAGTTGTATAATTACATTAGAACTGTTACCATAAATATGATCATTTTCATAACTAATTTTTTGGATTTTTTACTTTGAGTACCTAGTTTGACGCTATATGATTTACCTATTGTTAAAAAAGTTTATGAAACAACAAAATAATAACAAAACAGTTTTCAATTCTGATGTAAAACCTGTTACTATGCATGATGTTAGGCAGATTAAATTAACCCAGACAAAAGAATTGATTTATTCTCAAGAACTAAATCTTACTGTTTTTTTCAAACTTGAGTTCAGCGATAAATTTTGTTTCATAATTACAAAAAATTTTTTTTTTATTTTTTTATGATTTTTTAAGATTCTTAAACATTAAAGCTCTTTAAATAAAACCAACATACTGCATTTGATAATAATATTGAGCTTGAATCAAAATTCATTTTAGGCAACGTATTCGAAGGTCATTTGTTACTTAATTTTAAATTTATCATTTTTGAAAATGTGAGTCTGCACCAACCAATTTAGCAAAATGGATTATAAAAGAGGTAAGTTCGCTAATGGTTAGGAATTTATTTGAAAAAGAATTAGTTAAAAAACTTTAAAAAAATCCAAAGTTATTATATAAATTTCGCAAAAAAACAGTTACACTAACTATTAAAGCAATCAGAAACTCAGTGTTATTAACAAATAATCAAACTAAAATTGTCAAAATTATGTACAACCAAATTAGTTCCGTGTTTGTTAAATCAAAAATGAATTTTAACCTAAATTATATAATATTTCTTGTTAAATTCAATATTAAGTTCACACTATAAGTAAGAACGTGAATATTGAATTGAAAATTACCGGAAAATAATTTGAAAGATATATATTGTCAGATTTTCTTATCCAGTAATTTTCTAGTTTTAACAATTTTAAATTTTTGAAAAACATTTTAAAACAATAAGATAATAATGACAATAACAGGGTGGCCACACTTTTTTTGTCTGAAAAAATGAGGATAATTTAGGAGATTTTTAATGTTTTTAAGGAGATTTGCCGGGAAATATGAAAAAAAAAGTATAAAAATTTCAGTCGATTTAAACTTTTAAAAATTTAGAAGTATATTTAAATGAAATTTTCTTTTCTGAAAATACAAAATTATTTTAAGTCAACTTAATCAAAATAAAATTTTAATAAAAATAATTTTTATGCTCAAAACTTAGACAGAAATAAGAAAAAAAAGCTTAAATTTTATCAAAATAAATTTTTAAAGTTATTAAAATAATACAAAAATATTGAAAAACATTCGAGTAACTTATTTTTTCTCAGTATACAACAGTATTAACTCAAAGTCTGAATCATTTCATTAATTTTATTGTTGTTTGGCTTATAATAGTTTATGTATTATACTCAAGACAAATAAATTAGGAGAATTTAGAAGTATTTGAGAAAATCATCTATACATTAGGAGAAACAAGGTCTTTTTAGGATGTTTTTCCAATACTAAGATATTTTAGGATTTTTAGGTGGAGTGGCCTCCCTGAATAAATTATTTGCTTTTATAAATACAATAGTTATATATACAAAGTTAGAGTTACAAACAGTAAAAGCCTGATGAACAATTATATTATATATTTATATAATTATAAATACAAATTATATTGAATAAAAACGCGAGATAAAAAAAAATAATATTATTAACAACAATAATTAAAATAATAATACAAAACAATTTTTTAATAATCTATAAAAATTTAATTAAAAGTTTATTGATTAAAATAGTTATGTAATAACAATAAATATATAAGCAAATAAAACATATATTTAAGAAATTCTTTAAAAATTGTAGCATTTAAAATAACAAGTAAAAATAAGGAGAAAATTTAGTATACTTTAGTATATACATACAAAACACCCTCAAATATTTACACAAATGCTTATAGACACACACATACATACACACATATTTATATGTACAAAAAAAAATTAATACAACAAAAAACAAACAAAAACACTTTTATTAAACAAATTTATAAATAAAATAAAAATAAGTGATAAGCCAGATGGTATACAAAAATACAACAATACATAAAGAAATAGTTTTTTTTTTCATATACATTCTTTTTCTTTTTAAATTGGTTCTAATAATGTTCCTTACTTCTCTTCCTTCTTTGATGTCGTTGTTGTCTTTTTTTTTTGTTTTCAAATGTTTCAAAATATTTTTGCTTATTTATTTTCTTATTATTCATTTTTCTTTTCTTTACATTCTATACATCTTTTAATTTTTCCATCCTCTTTTTCATTTTCTGAAAATTTCTTCCTAAAATTGTGAATCACTGCAAATAGTTTATTGACAAGGCATTGCTTTGTACCTAAATAAAATACCATCACTTGTGTTTACTTAATTAAATAAACTATCATTTTATAAAATACATTGCATTAATTCAAGTAATTATAAAGAAAGAGTGTAAAAATTAAAATATATAAAACAAAAAATTCTATTTTTCGAAGCAAATATTCTTAACAATTTTTAGACATAAAAAAGTAAAATAAACTTTTATCATAAAAATCAGTAAAAAACTATGCATGTAAAATGGCAAAATAAAACAATATGTTATTACATTCTGTGGCCAATTGTTTCTAACTGATAGTTTATTATGTATGTTATTTAAAAAAAGGTATGGCAAGTAGGTAAGTAGATAACACAGTTTTTGTGGCGATAAAGTATGATTAACACATATGCGCTTGACAAGTTGAACGGGCTTCTTGGTTTCACATTGTGGTACAATGACTAATAAAAAAAAAGAGTTATTACAAAAAATATTAGTACATTTCTGTATAATACAATCTTTATTATTAAATTCACAAACAATGTAAGAAAACAGTTCTTTGTATCATTTGTTTTGACACAAAGAAGTAAAAGCAGCTTTATGTTTTGATTAACAGCACACTTACACAAAATAACACACTTATACTAAATGTGTTCTAGAAACACAAGTTAAAACATGTAAACACAAATAAACAATATCATATAGTTAGACCTACAAAAATTTCAACCCACTAAATTGTTCTACAAAAAGAACATCTAACAAAAAGTACTGATAATGTACTGAGGCCTAAACTTTTTTATTTTCAACGAGTTTATGACGTTTTAGTTTTTGACCAATTTATTTTGCAAGATTTTTGTTTTTATTCGCTTTGAGATTATCTAATTGGTGTTTTTAACGTTGTTTTTTTAAATTACGAAAACTTTTTTTAAAATACAAAAACTTTTTTTTTTAAGTTAGCAATTAATAAGTTTTCCAACCTTCTAATTATGAAGACAGCGTTTCAACCACTGCACCAAGGTTGATCAAATTTGGCTCATATTCAAATAAACAACAAAGTATACAAAATACATACCAGATAGAAATAGTTATAAAATTTAAAATGAGCTAGGTTAAATTAATTATTATTAAATTTATTAAATAAACTAATTATTATTAATTATAATTAAATATTACTTAGGTTGAAAATTAGGTCAAAAATACAGTAGGTCAATGTAGGTTGGAAAACTAGTAGTAAATGTTTTAGTTATGTGTAAATATAAAAAACAAAAATTGTCAGTTGAAAATCAAAAATATCAAAATCACGATTTACAAATATATATATATATATATATATATACATATATATATATATATATATATATATATATATATATATATAATATACATATATATATATATATATATATATATACATATATATATATATATATATATATATATATATATATATATATATATATATATATATATATATATATATATATATATATATATATATATATATAAATTATGTTATTGTATTCTACAAATAGAGTGCTCAATGTTTTAAACAGGGCTTTGGAGCTACTCTGGAGCTGAAGCTATCTATAGCTGGTGTTTTCACAAGGAACTGAAAAAGCTGAAGCTGAAACATTTTTAGGTGGAACTGGTTCCAGAGCAGGCTCTAAGCTAGCTTTCTCCAAGCTCCTCCTTTTGATAATTTGGAAGATCAAAGTTTGAGTATTTTTTGATAGGGATTCCTAAATAATCTAAAGTTATTTTTTATATGAAAAATTTTTAAAAGAGCATTTTACGTATTTTTTAAAAAAAGCATTTTACGTTTTGATATTGATATTATAGGTTTAGATTGTTTGATTGCTCACCTTGAGGCACAAAAAAATTTAATATTTTATAAATTATACTTGAACTGATATATATAAAATTGTTTTTGTATACATTTAAAAAAATGCTTGCGTATTTTAGAAATTAATTTTAATTATAGTGTTTTTTGTAATATGTTTTGTAGTTTATGTTGCTGAATAGATACATTAAAACTCACTTTGAAACATTACAGACAATCATACTCTGAAATAAAAATTCAGATAAAAGTTTTCTAGATGAAGCTATACAGGATGAAGAACATGACAAGCATTAATGACAGGAGTGCAGCAATTTAGGAAAAAAAATCTAACCTTAGTTCTCCTAGCAGGGTGTAAACATAAAAAGATTGAGGTGATGTGTAGCATTGTTAAATATATATATATATATATATATATATATATATATATATACATATATATTTATATATATATATATATATATATATACATATATATATATATATATATATATATATATATATATATATATATATATATATATATATATATATATATATATATATATATATATATACATACATACATAAACATATATATACATATATAAATATATATATATATATATATATATAAATATAAATAATATATATATATATATATATATATATATATATATATATATATATATATATATATATATATATATATATATATATATATATATATATATATATATTGATGCATTTATGGTGATTGATATTTATTGGCGATTAATAAACAAAACAAAAAAAACTTGTGTTGTTTTGTTATTGCATGCATCTAGGTTAAATAAAAATGGCAGTTAATAGTAAAAATAATACATAAAAATTATAAAATAAAGTGTCAGTAGCTTTAATAGGCTGATATAACACAGGCTTCTTGGTGATTGAATTCTTGAAACAAAAACTTGCCTATTTTAGATTTATTGTCAATGATTTTTGAAGAAAAAACTTTAAAAACGCAAGAGAAAAACGGTAAAAACACAGACTAGTAGGTTGAAATGAATTTACCCTATATTCGGTCGAAAATCAAATTATGGCAAATCGGTTGAAATTAAAATTCTGTGAAATAGGTTGAGAAAAAAATCGGTCGAAATAAAAAACGTCATAAATCGGTCGAATTAAAAAAGGCCTATAATCGGTTGAAAACATTTTAGGCCTAGGTAGAACATATAAAAATTATTTCCACTTTTTAGTAGATGTTTTATTTTGTAGGTCAAGTTTTTAGGTGCAGAATTTTGTAGGTTGAACTATGTGACACGGTTTTTATTATATTGTTTATAATTGAATGTTTCGGACGTACTTGATACACTTCTAAGTGCAATGACTCGAAAGCGCAATCTCTTCTATGGGGGATGTGATATTTTAGGCGGATGTATTATTTTATTACAATATATATATATATATTGTAATAAAATATTAAATATATATATATATATACATATATATATATATATATATACATATATATATATATATATATATATATATATATATATATATATATATATATATATATATATATATATATATATATATATATATATATATATATATATATATATATCGTGAACTGACGTACTTTTTTTCAAAATTAAAAATGGCGAAATTTACTGTTTCACAAATCAAGGAGCTGTTAGAGTTGCATGAAAGTACACTGTTGAAAATATTTAATGATAAGTTTGAAAAAATAGAGAACAAGCTCATTAGTATGCAAGTAGAAAATACAACTTTAAAAAATGAAATCAGCGAATTAAAGAAGTCTGCTGAGTTTATAAATGAAAAATACGAAAAAATTTTAAACGAAGTGAATGATTCTAAAAAGTAAGCATCAACATCGAATTTAAACAAAACTAGCATAGAACTTGAACACAGCGATAATATAATTAAAGACAAACTAGCAGAATTGGAGGACCGCAGTCGGCGAAACAACTTAAGATTCAATGGGATCCAAGAAAGTGAAAATGAAACTTCGGAAGAAAGCGAAAAAAATATACACGAACTATTAAATTCAAGACTTGGTATTAATAACAATATAATAATTGAAAGAGCACATAGAACTGGAAAACTTGATTATGGTGGAAAAATGAAAAACAGAACTATAGTTGTCAAATTCTTAAACTATAAAGATTAACAAACGATAATGGAAAATTACTCGAAGTTAAAACTCTGGACTGAACGCCTATACATTAGTGAAGATTACTGCGAAAGAACAACGGAATTAAGAAAGAAATTGTTTATTGAAGCGAAAGAACTTAGAACAAAAGGTAAATATGCAAAAGTGGTTTATAATAAACTTGTTATGCGCGATGCTTAAAAATAAGAATTCCTTTGTTTTCGCGAGGCACTACAAGTATACTAAACCATTAAAATGGATTCAGTTTTACTAGATAATTTTAAATTAACCTTTAATTTTCTTCAAACAAATAAATATCTTATTGATGAGAGATCTGACCCAGATCTAAATTATTTTAGCGAAGCAGGTGCTTTACAAAATAATTGTTGTTATTTTTACGCACATGAAATAAAGTACTTCCTAGAGCGTGACCATTTGAATGCCTTGCATATAAATATAAGAAGCTTAAAAAAAAATTTTGAAAGCTTTTGCTTATGTATGAAAGATACTCTAAACGTTTTTAATATAATTTGTGTAACCGAAACGTGGTGCGATTCTGACGAAGTGAATTATGACTGTAATATCCATTTACCTGGTTTTAAAATAACATCATTAGCGCGTAAAGCAAATAAACGAGGCGGCGGTGTGCTTATTTACATAAAGGAAAGTTTTCAATTTTTTACAAGGCTCGACCTGAGTACTTATGATGACGATAAAGAAATTTTAGCAATTGAAATTTTAACCCAAAAAAATAAAAACATACTTTTCAGTTGTTGTTATCGCCCACCTTCTGGAAAAATTTAATGCTTCAACACATATTTAAATACTAATATTATAAAAAAAGCTGACCACGAAAATAAATTAATCTATATGATTGGTGATTTTAATTTAAATTGTTTTGATTATCACGTCAAGCAAAACACACAAAAGTTTTATAACGAATTATTCAAAAATGGAGCGTTTCCTTTAATAGATAGACCAACCAGAATTACCGAAAAAACGGCTTCAATAATCGATAATATTGTAACTAACGATGTTTTTAATGAATCTTTAAAAAAGGGTATTATTAAAAGTGACATTTCCGATCATTTCCCCATTTTTTTCTCTATAAGTATAAAACCAAAAGTACTACCTAATGAAAAAACAACATTTTTTAAAAGTATCTATAACGAAGCTAATTTATTATTGCTTCATGAACAACTGTCATTGCTTCATTGGAAAGATATAAACACTTCATCTGACGTAAACTTTACTTACAACCAATTTTTTAAATCTTTCTATGAGGTATATGATGTAAATTTTTCGAAACTCGAAATAAACTTAAAAACCAAAAGTGTAAAATCACCATAGATTACAAACACCCTAAGAAAATCATCAAAAGTCAAACAAAAGTTATACATTAAATACCTTAAAGAAAAAACGATAGAAAGTAAAACCAACTACAAAAAATATGCGAGAGAATTTGAAAAAATTAGAAAGAATCTTAATAAAAAATACTATTCCGATTTACTTATGCGATACGAATGTGATTCAAAACGCACATGGCAAATTTTAAGAGAAATTACCGGTAAAACAAAAATTAAATCATGCGCTCTGAAAAATGGCATTAAAATTAATGGTAATATCTCTTATGATCCACGCGAAATAGCAATCTAACTAAACAAATTTTTGTGTCACGATCGGACATAATTTAGCAAGAAATATACCAAATATAAAGAAAACAATTGATATCTCATCTATTGCATTAGCTAATCTTGATTTTTTGGAATTATCCCAGCAAACATGTAAGCGTTGAATCAACGTTGAAAACCAGTCGCGGCGTAGAAAAAGCGTTACAGTCACAAAAACAACGTGCTTTCAACGTTGAATCAATGTCTGTTTTTGTATACTAAATCGCGGTAAATTGAAACGTTGAATAAGCGTTGAAATTGTAACGTAATTTAGCCTTTCAAAATAAAACGTTTATTCAACGTGGAATCAACTTACGCAAAAAGCCACTTTAAAAACGTTTCGAAGTATATGCTTTATCAACGTTAAAAACAAACCGCTTTTTAAACGTTACATTTTCAGCGTATAAATGTAAACGTCCCAGTAAGCACATAAGCGTTTTTAAAACGTTTTTTTAACTAAGAAAAAAAACGTTTTTTAAACGTTCTGAATGGCAATATCTAAAAAACGTTTTTAAAAAAGCGTTTAAAAAACGTTCTAAAAAAACGTTTAAAAAACGTTCTTAAATAACCTAAATTAAACCATAAAAAAACGTCTTTTAAACCTTTAAAAGACGTTATTTTTTAGAAAATATTCTCAAATCCATAGGTACTATTATTAAATTGTTTTTAAAAGAGCCTGTTGGTTCAAAAAACAAGAAAAATAAAAAATTTATTTAAAAGTTATTTTTAAATTTATTTTTTAAAACAATTTACAAACAAAGTAATATTTTAACGATGATATCTGTTGGATTTAAGGCACTTTAAGACAAGCAAAAGTTGCCCGCTTTCACGAAACAGTAATTATTGCATCGACAATCGACTCTGTGTATGATTCGTGAGAAGTCAATGCACAAACTAAAAAAAAAACTATATATTTAAAACAGACAATCTGAGCAGTAATAATAGTATTATAGTATAATAATAATATATATATATATATATATATATATATATATATATATATATATATATATATATATATATATATATATATATATATATATATGTATATATCTTATACTGCTGAGTTAGGTGAGCATGATGATGTCATACTCACCTAATGTCAAATAGCCTGCTGCCGGGGGCTTCAGTACATAGATCGACTGACAAATAGCCTGACTTGCCGTGGAGAGCAAAATTTTCTATCATTTGGTATATCAAATGATAGAAAATTTAGAATACTAAATAGTGGTGTAAATAACTCCATACTGCCAAAAATGGACTTAGTGCATTTCCCTTGTATTCCCATCTCGTAAAACTACCGCAAAGCAGGATCGGCTTTAGGTTCGGGCGAGTTAGTCCAATCGTTTCGCCACAGCTTGAGATCCTACATGGGGAAAAAGTTCATCTGACAGCAAGCACAGTTAGAAAACGCCTGCAGCAAGCTGATTTGAATGGGAGAATTGCTGCAAAGAAGCCTTTATTGCGACTTTATAACGTCGCAAAAAAAAGAGTATTCGCAAAGTTGCACAAAACCTTGACTGTCGTACAATGAAATAAAACGCTATGGAGTGATGAAAGTACCTTTACTGTTATCTGTAGAGCTAAAAGAGCTTATTTGAGGAGAAGAGTTGTTGAATAATTTAGTCTTTTGTGTGTTGGTGAATGATTTAGTCCTCATACAGTAAAGCATGGAGGAGACTCTCTTATGGTATGGGGTTGCATGTCAGGATCAGGTGTAGGTCATTTATTTTGTTGTACGGGCACGCTAAACCAGGATAAATATTTGGAAATATAACTATTAAGTAAAAACAAACCATTTTTCTTTCAACAGGACAATGCTCCTTGCCACAAAGCTACAAAAGTAATGGAATATCTCAAACATGCTCGTACCAATGCTATTGAATGGCTTCCACAAAGTCCTGACCTAAACCCCATTGAAAATTTGTAGGAGTAGCTCTTCAGAAAAGTACAGAAAACCAAACCCAGCAATCTGGATGATTTGTGGCAACATTTGCAAGCTGCATGGCTAGCAATCCCTGTTAAAACCATCCAATAGCTGGTACAGTCTATGCCAAGACTTGTACAGGCCGTGCTTGATGCGCATGGAGGGCAAACAAAACACTAGTCTTTTAGTCAGAATTTCTTATGTTTTATTAGTGGCGCTTATTACTGACAATGCAGAGTCGTTTTTATTTCCATGTGATGCTGTTTTATTTATATTGTGCCAAAAATGAATAAACTTCTCTTGTTTTTCAACTGTGATCATGACTTTAAGCCTCTACTGTATATAGGTGTGTATATATGTGTATATATATATATATATATATATATATATATATATATATATATATATATATATATATATATATATATATATATATATATATATATATATATATATATATATATAAACGTACCTTTTATTAAGTTGTATAGCTTGGTTAGACTAAAAAGATCCTTTACTTTTTCCAGCTGCCATATTAGATTTGGCCATGAGTGAATTTGCCATAAAACTAAAAATAATATATTTTAATAATATTATATTTTATAATTTATGAAATTATAATTAACTACTGTATTTAAAATTTTTTTCTTTTTATTCATAAAATCTAAATGTAGTTAAACATTTAGATTTTAATTTAACGATACAGTTTATCTATTAATTAAATCTAATCTATTGATTAAAAAATAGCACATTAACCATTAATGTAGTCCAGATCATAAGTGTACACTAACCATTAGTGTAGTCATATATATGAATATTATCTGGGTTAAAAGAATTATCTGGACTAAAGTTTAAAGCTATAGGATAACCTATAGCTTTAAGCTTGCAAACTGGAAAAAATGTAAATTGGCATTAGTGCGCCTAACAGGTTAGCAAACATTATGAATAGGCATAAGTGCAAAATTTGATTAAGTAAGAAACAGTTACAAAAACTGGCAGAAGTGCGAACTGACATAAGTGCGTGTAATAAATTTGCAAACATTGGCCTAAGTGCTAATTGGCATATCGCCCTTATGCTAGTTTGCAGTTATGCCAGTTTGGAATTATGCTAAATTTTGCAAATTTATTTGGCACACTTATGCCAGTACGCATTTATGTTGTTTGCACTTTTGCGAGTTTTTGCAACTGCTTCACACTTATACCAGTTCCCACTTATGGCAATTCACACTTATGCGAATGTTTGTAAATCTATTTAGCGCACTTATGCCAATTTACACATATGCCAGTTTGCACTTATAGCAGTTTGCACTTATGCCAATGTTTGGAATTCTTTTTGTGCAGTTATGCCCATTTGCACTTATGCCATTTGGCATTGTGCCAGTTTTTGTAACTGCTTCGCACATGTGCTAGTTTGCGCGTAT